TATAGGTTTGGATACGGCCGTGGGGGAGGATTAATCGAGTGTTTTACTTCAAACAGAAAATCGCTACCGTGACAACCCAGAGAGGGCCTCCGGGTTAGTGTTGGACTTGCTGTGTGTAGGTGATCGTAGATGCCCAGTGACGTTGATGCTTCTCAGGTGCTAGAGCAAGAAAATCATCCTCACAACAACGGGAAATGTTGTGCATTTTCTGGAAGTGAAGCTTTTCTGTCATTAGAGGGATTAGCACCGAGCTGCGGAAGAACCATATCAGAACGCTTTCGCTAATCCTTCTGCTCAGTAGCCTCAGTGTCACTGTCACACCTGCTGTTGGTTAAAGTTTGATGGGTTTTCTTCTTACTTTTCATGGTGTGTTAAAGCCCGACGTCAGATATGTGGTTCACGCATAGTGAGTGAAAACGTTAACGAGTGTTAGTTTTGTGTTCGTATCTGTGATTGACACAATGTCGCCCAGAATGATCTAACAAATCTGCCCCTCCCCCCCTCGTCGCCCCCCCACCATCTCACCCACCACCATTGCTTCACCATGGTCTGTTTGCTTGCGGCGCTTGATCCAGATGAAGCGAAACAAAGTCCCGGTTGCTTTCCGTGTTCCGTGTCCATGAAAGAGTTTAGTGGTGCTTTGTGGGGGGGGGGAATGGTTCAAAGCTTTTTTGATGAATAGTGCCGGTGTGTGCATGCATAGGCGGTTAATGTGTTGGAGAGAGATGGAATTCCCTTCATTTTTGGGTGTTAACTCTCTGCGCCTCCTGTGGAGGTTCTTAAAAGGCATCTCCTGGGGCCACGGGTGGGGGTGAGTGGCGGGGGGGTCAGGAGACAACGTTTTCCTGCCATTGGCCCCCACCCTCCATCTTTACGGTCTGAAGCTGGGTTTCTTTGTGTTGGTCCTCAGCACAGAGGTTATATGTATACAACAAAGTGTAAAGTGATGGTAAAGAAGCGCCCTCGTCATCGGAGCAGGTAGAGAGTTGGGACACAGGCTCTTTTTTTCCAGCATCAGTTTCTCGAACTAAATGTACAGAGATCAGAATTTTTTTTTTTTTTTTTCATTTTTTTTTTTTTTTTTTTGCATATTTGTACCATGTGATCTTTTTTTTAATAGCATTCATAGCAGGTAGGTCTTTTCGAATGAAATCTACACCACTCTTTCAGACATGTTTAGCTCTTCAGAAACATTTAACTAAACAGGTCATTTAGATGTTTGTTTCTAAAATGTATTGAAAGGGTATTTTTGTATGTGTTTATCACTTCCTTTAAATGAATCCGTACACCAATTAAACCCCTAAAAAAACTACTCTGGAGTCTGAGTTTTTGTTGCATGTATTTTCACACTGCGTCGCCATGTTGGATCGTTTTGATTAAGCTGATGTTTTCATTGATGTTGTGTTTCATGTGAGGAGATGATTAGCTGCTCGCTTTATTTTAATACTCAAGTTTATTAAATGGTTGCATGACATCTTTGGGGGAGGGTGCAGTTAGGTCCCCTTTAATCGCGCTCCCTCTGTCTGAGGCTGGCGTGGTCGAGGATCCAGTATCAGTGCTGTGGACAGCAGCTCAGATAAACTCAGTGATGATATACTCTTTTAGGGAGTTTGTGAGCTATTACATCTTTTAATACTTATTAATATTATTTATGATGTATATTATTCTACAGGTGGTTGGTGGTTTCAGATCCTGTTTTTGTTTTGGCATTGTGATAAGATCTACCTCAAGACTCATTTATTTATCTCCTATATTTGGTCTTTATAGCTTTGCTTGATAGCAGCAGATCATTTCTAAATAAAAATCCAAATACATCAGTCTCCAATATTTCCAGTGGAAAAATAAATCTGTTTAAATTTGGAATCAGATTACAATTCTATGAAAAGTTCTCATTCCGACATTGACTCAGGACTCTCCAGTCGTCCTCCCCTTGATGAACCTCTAACAAAGTGACAGTGTGATCTTGCTTTTTTTTATGCAAGTGCGGGTTGTGTTTAATGCAGTTCTTGTTTTAGACTCAAAACCTGAAAAATGAGTTGTATTAAAAATATGTCATAGTTCCATATATGTTATTTTTCAATCTTTAATTTAACAAGAAATATGAGCCTCGAGTTTTAGGCCGATAGATGTTTCCAGTTATTAAAGCACTGATGTCTAGTGAAAGAACATGAGTGCATCCTATGTATATATCTATACAACCACCAGATGACGCTACATGTCACAAAATCCACAAATTTTAAATTCTACAGGTTTCTTTAAGGGGCGGCCATGAGATGATGGCAGGGTCGCAAAATGATTTCCAGTAATCAGAGGTGATTTAAAAACAATTTAAAATAGCATATTATAACCTCAATCTAAACAACATATCAACAATTCTACTAAAACATAAAATAATACCACTCAAAATGAAAAATATGTAATCAGTCATCTTCTGTTCTTGTCCCCACATGACCCCTGAGGTGATTATGACAGATTAGCAACAGCTTCAGTTGCGGCAGGCCAGTTTACAGCAACACAGGAAACATTGCAACATGTGCACGTGGATGATGATTTCTTTTTTTGCAAACTCGCCCAAATTACTTTACTGGCTGTCCCAAGTGTCCAACACCTTTACTCTGAGGCCAGGCGTTGAAAAGTTTGAGAAGCCCTGTTCTCCAGAATTAAGAGATGAACACTAAGGACGCATGTTCCTGCTGCTGGGACCTTTTTGAATTACATCCATATTCAGAAGCATGTATATGTCATTACTAATTCATGATTTGCAAACATTGTAGGTGTTGAATACAATATTAATTGATGTTGCACCGCCAACATCCCGCACCAAGCGATGAATAAAAGGAATGGGAATAAATGAGGAAAGAGAAATGTGATCCTGCAGAATTGAACTGACAGTTATTGAAGTTAAGTTTTTGTTTATGGTCTTAGTGTTAAGTTGAAGCTGTTTGATCCTGTAGACTCAGTGCTGTGAGTTTATTTCTCAGGTTATGAGATCATCAGCCTCCAGTCAGAATCCTGCAGACCTCTACTCACATTTCTCACAGCACCTTTGATGTGGGCAGCCCTCGCCTCTGTGTTTGACGTACAGAACACTAATGCACAAACCTATCTCCCATTCGTCATGACGTCAGCAGATAAGTCGTGCTTTTTGAATCATTTTTTGCTGAGTTTATTTTTATTTTTATGAGACTCTCCAGTACTTTTACTCCATAAAGTCCAGAGGGAAAATCCTGTACCTTTCATTCCAATTCATTGACCTGACAACTTTAGCTGCTGTTATTTCAGAAAGTTGTGAGACACCTACGGGGAGTGTGTTTCATTAACAGGAACAAAACGATCGCCTGGATAAGAATATAGGAGAAGAGAGGAGCAGCCACAGTAAACCCATTCAGACACGGGGAGCCGTGCGTTTGTGAAGATTCTCAGTTCAGTCAAATTAGTTCAGGATAAACCCTTGAGATACCATCTTGTTTTAAAGGGAGTCCCAGCATATATCACAATCACTACATGAAAAACGAACAGCGATCAAAACATCAATGCACAGACAAGCAGCTATCCTGGTCGTGCTCTTTCAGTTTGGCCACAGGACTTGCTTGAGGTTTCTTTAAGACGTTTCATAAGTTTCAAGAAAAATCTACGATTCCTGCTCTGACCATGTTGGAATAAGTTTCTCAAGTTATGGACAAGAAAGCTGCAGGTCTTTATTGAGCAATCTTAAAAAACTGAAAAGGTGTTGATCAGCAGCTGTCTGGTGCTTTGGCTGCGCTCTGCAGTTGCTTGACCCTCAATAGCACAACAGTGATGGAGAGGAAGGGGCTTGAAGAGAGCAATAGGTGGAAGCTGATTCTTATTTGTGTCCTCTATTTTTTAAAACCCCAGATTTAAAAAAGGTTATCTGGTATTTTAGCAGAAGCCTATTAGCCTTTTCCATGTGTTTCCAGTCTAAGTTACAGCAGGCATGTGAATAGACAGATCCCTGGTGCTGCTCAAGCACCTGCACTCTGACTATACTAGTGCCCTTTACATGAGACGTTTTTTAAATTGTATTTCTCTAAATGTATACAGGTTTTTAATGTGGCCCACGATGACATCAGTTCTCAATTAGAAATGCAATGTAATGCCTGACAACTGTATTTGAAACTCTTTGACCTCCCTCCTCACAGTTACCACAATTAGAACATGTGACTTTGCACCCTGCAGGGCAGCATCATTAGACACCCCTTAATGTGTGTATGGGTGCTTCATGTGAAATTAAAAGAAACTGTACGTAACTTCATTTCTGTAAATAGTTATAAGAGGGATGCCCTGTTTGTCACCTGAGCCCCTGTCCCCTCAAAACGTGCACGGCCCTGAGCTACAGTGTGTTTAACTGGTGGTCCCAGCTGCTTGTTTAGATTCAGTCTTCTCATCCATTCTCTGCAGGGAGCTAAGGCTAATGGCTAATGACCCCCTGCATCCTGGTGCCAATTTTTTTCAAAGCAATTCAGGAAAAAAAAGCAAATAGGCATCAAACTTTAGAATGACTCAAATAAATGTTCATAAAACCACCTGATGAGCTCTGTGATTGGAAACCACTGAAACACATGTGCCTACATGTTAGATTGAAGTTTCATGTTTCATGTTTTTGACCATGAAAACTTCTCTGCAGGACTAAATCTGCCACATTTTCATATCGGATTTACGTACACAGGTAATCCATGTGGATGGTCCTTTTTAAATGAATTACCACAGTAGACAAGAGATAGTGTGTGTGTGTGTGTGTGTGTGTGTGCATGTGCGTGTGTGTGCGTGCGTGTGCGTGCGTGGGTGTCTGTGTGTGTGTGTGTGTGTATGTATGTCTCTCTCTCTCTCTCTCTCTCTCTCTCTCTCTCTCTCTCTCTCCCTCGCTCTCCTCGCGGCTGAGTCACGCGGCCTCTGATTGGTTTGTTCGGATTGAAGGGGGCGGGTCCAGAGGGGGGGGATTCCCGCAGCTCTAACAAATAAGACTTTTCTCTGTCTCCTGTCACTCATTCAAGTTCGGACTTCTCCACCAGACGATCACTGAGAGTGAGTGAGCGTGTCCATCATGAATGGTGAGAGGCAAACCCTTTATTGATTCACTATTAATGGCAATAATGAGAATGACGCTGCTGTGGGAGACGCCAGGACATCATTTAGTAAGGGGCAGTAATCATGTGTGTGCTGTTCCCTGCTGACTCCAGTGTAACTGACTTTATATTCCTATGTGAAGCCTTTGTGTAGAGGCACTAGTGTTTCATTGAATAACTTAAACAGTGTGTGACACTAAGTCTGATGAACGACACATTCTAACTTCCTCATTGCTGCAATGAGTGACAGTGTCAGAGGAGTCAGTGTCAGTAATTACAGTACAGCTTCAGCAGGATTAAGTGGTTATATAAACACTACACAGCAGTGGGAGAGAAGTATGCTTGTATTTTGTGACACCGTCTCTACTATTCACTGTGGTTTTAAATTGAATGATGCATATATGTTCTCCTCCTCAGTTCTTATGCCCTCCATGCTAGGGGACAACCCAAACCTGAGTAAGGACATTTTCATTTTAATACCTCTTGTTTCAAAATTAGGATTTTAGCTGCCTGCCTGCACAAGTCAAAACTTTAATGTTGCTAAAAAAAAAAGTCACTGAATGTGTTGCAGTGTCATTTCACTTCCTTAATTTGTTTAGTTTTTTAGACCCTTCTGTGTGTGTGTGTGTGTGTGTGTGTGTGTGTGTGTGTGTGTGTGTGTGTGTGTGTGTGTGTGTGTGTGTGTGTGT